CCTGAGTGCTAGGATTAAAGGTACATGCTACCACATCTGCCAACTGTCAGTGTTTTAATCATGTCACCAAGGCTCCCCTTCTCACTTGCTAGCCCTGTAAAAACATAGCTGGGCGTTGGTGGTGCACGCCTTTAATCCCAGCACTTGGGAGGCAGAGGCAGGTGGATCTCTGTGAGTTCGAGGCCAGCCTGACTACAGAGCTAGTTCCAGGATAGCCTCCAAAGCAATACAGAACTGTCTCGAAAAACAAAAACAAACAAACAAAAGAGTAAAAACATCACCAGGTGATAGTGGTGAGTGCCTTTAATTTCAGCACTCGGGAGGAGGGGCAGGCAGATCTCTGTGAGTTTGAGACCAGCCTGGTCTCTACAGAGAGAGTTCCACGACAGGTAAGGCTCTTGCACAGAGAAACCTTGTCTCAAAAAACAGTAAAAAAAAAAAGTTGAAAAAAAAAGTCAGGCTAATACAGACATTTGAAAAATTTCAAAGATGTCTATGGCCACACCACCACAAATGTACTTGATTTTACAACGAAGTAGGGCTGGGCCTAGTTAGTACTTGGATGGGAAAATTTTTCTACCTGATAGTTAGAAATAGCACTTACATTCTGTGATTTTGTACTTACACTTGAGATAAACAGACTAACAATCTAGTCACAAGGACTACATCAGAGGAGGCCATAAGCCCTTAAAAGATGATTATCAGCACTCAACTCCAAAAGTCATTAATCAGCACACGCACATTTGAGAAAGGTTTTCATTGGTGACTCTGGAGCTTGGTCAATCAGTATACCATATGCTAGGCAGGGATTAGCGTTGGCTAAGTTAGCTTTATCAATATTCAGGGGTCAGTTAAAGTACTTGAGAGACCCTCCTCAGCCCCAGGCATGGAGAATAAGAGCTGAGTAGGCTTTAACTTTAGGTGTGTGCTTAGTGCCCTAGAGCACAGCCGCTGCCTTTCTTCAGTCACTAATCATCTCTGATTTGCCAAATCCAAATGATTCAGTTTCAGCCCCTGTATTTTATTTTTATTTCATGTACATTCGGAGTTTTACCTGCGTGTATGTCTGTGTGAGGGTGTTGGGTCTCCTGGAACTGGAGTTACAGGCAGTTGTGAGCTGCTATGTGGCTGCTGGGAATTGAACCTGGGTCCTCTGGAAGAGCAGCCGGTGCTCTTAAATGCTGATTCATCTCAGTTTTTGAGACAGGGTCTCTCACTGAGCCTGAAGTTCATCAGTTTATCTAGGCTAACTGGCCACGAGCTTCGCTGCTTTGTCTGTCCCTGCCAACCCCACGCTGGGGTCACAGGCAAGCAGTCAACCACACGGGGCTTTTTTTACAGGTTCTGGGATCCAGGCTCAGGTCCTTGTGCTTTTTTGGCAGACACTTCACCAGCAGAGTCGTCTCTCCAGTCCCTAAACTTCTGAAACTTAAAATTTTAACAAGCATACCTAAGTATGCTTGGGATTCTGGAAGACTGTTGCTCCTCCATAATTATTTAATTATTCAAGCATTTATTCATAGCAATATGGACTCATGGATATTTATTTGATTCTTCTGGTTGTTAGCCCAAATCATTGTTATTTTGTTGCTTAATATATTCTAACTTTGAACATCAGCAGATGTTTCTTTTCTTTTTTTAAGATTTATTTTTATTATGTGTACAGCCTTTTGCCTGCATGTATTCCTCCTGCATTCCAGAAGAGGGCACCAGATCTCATTAGAGATGGTGTGAACCACCATGTGGTTGCTGGGAATTGAACTCAGGACCTCTGGAAGAACAGTCAGTGCTCTTAACCTCTGAGCCATCTCTCTAGCTCAGCAGATGTTTCAAGTTGTTGCCTGTTTTTATTTTCTAAACCCACTATTGGTACTGTAACAATGACATGCTCCATCACTGGCTGTTAATATTTGTCTTAGATAGGGTTTTTTGGTTTTGGTTTTTTGTTTTGTTTTGTTTTTTGCTGAGAAGAGACACCATGACCATGGCAACTCTTATAAAAGAAAACAATTGGGGTTAGCTTACATTCCAGAGGTTTAGTCCATTATCATCATGGCAACATGCAGACAGACATGGCAGTAGAGAAGAAGCTGAGAGTTCTACATCTTGATCCGAAGACAGCAGAAGGAGTCTGTGTACTAGATGTAGCTTGAGCATATGAGATCACAAAGCCTGCCCCCACAGTGACACATAAGGCTACACCTACTCCAAAAAGGCCACACTTCCTAATTGTGCCACTCCCTATGGGCCAAGATGTGAAACAAAATAGTCTATGGGGGCCATTCCTTTTCAAACTACCACACTGCTCCAGCAGTTTCTTCAGGAAGAGTGGGCTGTAGACATGTTCCTTGCTGCTAGAGTCTCAGCACACAGAGATAGGGAATAGACAGCTGGAGTCAGCCCTCCATACCATGAGTTATACCTCCTCAGATTAAATCATAAAGGTAAGTTTAAATGTTTCTTTTTAAAAGAACTTCATCTGAACTGAACAAGCACAATTTTTTTTTCAGGCCACTAACCCGTAAACAATACATATAACAACATTTGCACATCATTTACATTGTGTGAGCCATGAATAGTAATCCAAAGATGACTTAAAGCACACGAAAGAATGTGTTTGGGTTCCATGTAAATGATATACTATTTTACATAAGGGCTTGAGTGCTGTGGAATTATCTTTGTACACTGAAAATATATATTTCTGTCACTGTTAATAAAAATCTGATTGGCCAATGACTAGGAAGGATGTTCGGGGCAGAGAGTATGCTGGGAAGGAGGGTGGAGTCAAAGGGGTCAATAGTCAGATGGAAAGGAAGCAGGACATGCATAAGAGGTAAAAGCCATGAACCTCAGGACAGTACACAGATGAACAGAAATGGGTTAATTTACGTTGTAAGAGTTAGTAATAAGCCTGAGCTATTGGCCAAGAATTTATAGTTAATAATAGTCTCTGAGTGGTTATTTGGAAAACAGTGTAATCCTGATGAGAAACTTCACCTTCACTTGAAGATCTGTGGACCATGGTATCTGAGGGGACTTCCTGAACCCAATCTCCTGACATATCAAAGGCAACTATATATACCAAACCACTCTTGATGGAATCATTGCACTCTTTTATGACACAATTAGTTTCATCATTATGATTAGCATTCTATCCTGATACATTGGTTGCTAAAATTTTTAAACAACTAAATACTGTAAAGAGCATTCTTCCCACCAGTCTGGTCCCAGAGTCACATCAACCTCAAATAACACACAGAGACTCTATTAGTTACAATGCTGTTGGCCAACGTTCAGGGCTTCTCATAGGCTAGTTCCATCTTAAGTATTATATATATATATATACATATATATATATATATATATCTTACAGAGGATGCCAGCCTCATGCATCCTGTCTTCCCAGGATCACATGGCGACTCTTACTCTTTACTACATTTCCCAGATTCCTCCTTGACTCCTAGTCCTACCTGTCCTGCTTCCCTATTGGCCAACATTGCTTTATTTACCAACAATAAGACAAACATATACACAGAAGGACTTCCCCCATCAAAGTACCTCAGAAAAGATGTAGACAGTGAATAGTCATATAAGCACCACCCAAAAACCATGTGACCAATGAAAAGTTATGTAGCCACCACCCAAATACTATGTGACTCATAAACAGTCATGCAACCATTATCAAATACTATGTGACCAATGAACAGTCATGTAACCATCATCAAATACTATGTGACCAATGAACAGGCATGTAACTACAGCCCAAACACCATACAGATCCATCCCAACATCCCAAAAAGTTGCCTGTGTAGCCACTCTCCCCTTTATATCAGTTTCTGGAATATCTACTTAAACATGTTTACTGTACCAGTCAGAAAAAATGCAAATATGTAATTTTAAAAAAATAAACACACACACACACTGAAAAAAATGCATGAAAAACAAAATATTAGCAATGGGGAAGAAAATAGAAGGAATGTAGCCAACTGGTGAACTTCAGGTTCAAAGAGAAACCCAGTCTCATAACAGGGTGAATTGACTGAAGACATTCAACACTGGCCCCTGACCTCCCCACACACCTGTGATGGGGTATGTCCTTTTATATATATGTTTCTTTCTCTCTCTCTCTCTCTCTCTTTCTCTCTCTCTCTCTCTCTCTCTCTCTCTCTCTCTCTCTCTCTCTCCCCTTTCTCTCTCTCTATATATATAGATAGATAGATATAGATATATTTGTATATATGCTGGGGAGAGGAAGACAGAGAGAAGCTGCCAGAGAGAGACAGACACCATGTAGTTGTTGGGAAGATAGGAGGCTAAGTTCTCTAGTAAGATAAGACCATGTAGAAATATATAGATTAAAAGTTACTGGTTAATAATTAAGAGAGAGATATCCAGTAAGAAGCCTGAGCCACTGGCTAAATAAGTCTCTGTGTGTTTATTTGGGGCTAAACAACTGTGGGACCAGGCAGAACAGAAATGCCCCCTACATACATGTACACCTGTATGCCAATGCACCCACATGTATGTATGTAGCTACACAAATACACACAGTAAAGCATTTCTGTTATGAAAATGACTGAATTTGCTACCCCAAAGCCTACTACATACAAAAACTCTACATGAATAATGGCTTATTCCTAAATGTATCCCTAGAACATTCTTATTAAGCTGATCTATTAGTACACTTGTTGAAAAGTATATTTTTCTCATCAGAGTTACTAAATGTTCCTTACAAAGCCATATATGGAAGTACCAGGAGAAGCCATGAGGGCACATTTCTTCTTAGTGTGTAGTATCTCACAGGTAGGAAATCACTGTTGCCCTGGCTACACTCAGCTTAAGTTTGTCTGACTGTAAAAGACGACACTGCTTTCCTTACAGTGTTGTAAGTAATAATAGCACTACGTCTCCTTAACGTTGTCCCTCCCTGGCACGAAGCCCTCGCTGTCTCTCCATTTGTCATTTGCTGCACTCGTCTGCATCTGGAGGGCTCTGAGTACCTGCTATCAGCTTCTCCGAGTCGGGCAGGTGGGTGAACTGCTGTTTGTATTCCTCGTTCCTGTCTTTGTAGGTGGAACTGGAGATCTGAAACAATAAAAGTTTACATTTCTGTTTACTCCCGCTTGTAATAGCTTAGAAATGAAGCTTCAAAATCACACACTTCCTATCAACATTGTGTCCTCATATGAAAGAAGCACAAACATTTCAAAAGCCAATGGTGTGATAGTTCTGAGGGTGTGGGACAGGCCGTGCAAGCTAGCAGCTATGTCGACAGAGGAGGCTGGGCTGATGCGGAGAAAGCAGAACAATTGTGTTAAAAGTAAAAAGGAAACCCTTAACATCATCTGGAGGGTCTGTTCCCAACTGGAACAAGCCAGGTGGAGATTAACAAGGGCCTGGGCAGACAGACCTAGAAGAGAATGAGGCCGTGTGAGTTTGACACTGTTTGCTCCTGACCAAAAAGAGCTGCAGACATGTGGAGGAGACACCAGAGAGAGCCTGAGGTACCTACGCATTCCTGTCTAGCAACACAAGAGATGTGAGAGTCTATAGAAACAGGGAAAAAGAGAAGAGCTCGAACTTTGCCCACATTACCTAGTGTACACACAGGTCTGTTAGTAGGAGGAAAAGCCTTTCTGGATCTTTGTATTTGAGAATATCATTTAGTAAACACTGAACAATACAAAGGGTGACTCCTAGAAAGTCAGTCTTAAAAAGAAAAGAAAATCAAGAAAAAATACAGCAGAGATATTTGTTCCTACACACCACAGGACAAACCCAGATTTACTCTAGTCCAGTTCTTAAGTAAACAGGGAGGGAGAATTCAATCAGAATCCAGAGATACTAATGAGGCAGACAGTAGGGTGGAGGTTCGAGGCCCAGAAAGCCTTATGCAAAGCCTTATAAAACTGACAAATGGAAAAAGCACTCCGGCAAAGAGGAAGGCTGGACTCCCCAGCTGAGGCAAACCCAAACTGTCTTGCACCATTGACACAGGTGCAGAGGGACTCCAGAGTATCTGAAGACAATCCTTGGCTCATAATACTACTAAATCTCACCCCAAGTAGAAGGTTAAGATAATAACATGACTTGTCCCACATGAAGCTCTATGTGTTGTGCTACCTGTAACAGACAAATTATGCACAGAAAAGCCTGGGCTCTTTGTATGGTACCCTTCAGCCTGCTCCAGCCTGCTCCAGCCTGCTCCCTCCTTTGAAAGTTCATCTTTCTTTAAATCCTCTTAGTTTGCTTGCTACTGTCGAAACCTCTCTGGTGAATTCTTTGTAGCAGGATTCAAGAACCTGGACCCCACTGGACATACCCTCTAATTTCCGGTACCACTAATATTGTAAGAATTATCCAGCTGGCAGTGAAAATTATAAAACATGGGGAGCAACAGGAAAGAAAAAGTCAACAGGCAATAAAAACGATCTTTGATGGTTCCAGGCATTGGATTTAAGAGCCTAGGGCATCAAGGAAATTATCAGCCAAATGCTCAAAGAACTAAAGAAAACCATGCTTGACAAACTTAGGGGTTTCCCTAGTTTCAACTGCCAAGTTGACAACTTAAAGCCACCTGAGAGGAAAGCTTCAGTTGAGGAATTGCTGAGATCAGGTGGCCTGTGGGCACGTCTGTGAAGGGTTGACCTGATTAAGAATTGATGCAGGAGGGCCCAGCCCACTGTGGGCAGCCTCACTCCCTGTCAGGTGGCCCTGTGGCTCTAGGAAAGCTAGTGAGCCTGAGCCAGTGAGCAAGACAGCAAACTGCTTTTTCATGGCTTCTGCTTCGAGTTCCTACTTGAGTTTCTGACCTGACTTCCCACTATGGTGAACTGTAACCTGGAAGTATAAGCCAAATAAGCCTTTTCTCCCTAAGCTGTCTTTTCTCGTGGTGTTTGTCACAGCAGCGGAGTAACACTAGAGCAGGGGATAAAGGTACTTGTTTCTAAACCTGATGACCTGAGCTTTATATCCAGGACCCAAATGGCGGAGGGAGAAGAGAGACTGCAGCAGGTGGCCCTCTGGTATCCACATACAAGCTTAAACACATACACACACACACACACACACACACACACACACACACACACACACACACACGCCCCATACATGCACATGTATACCTAAAATATTTTAAATCAAAATTAAAATAATAGTCTAAAATATTTGACACACAGATAAATAGATGGAGACTAGAGGAGCAACTATAACAAGAAATGAGCAACAGACAACAAAATGTCTATTCATAAGTCCAACCATATCCTAGGTATTAGTGTTATCAGACTACATGACAGAGATTAGGATGAAAGAGGAAGAGGGGAAGGTCTGGAATGATCTAAATGCTATGCTCAAGAACTCAGAAGAAGAAAAATACAATTTAAAAAATAGGTAATATATTTATCCCTGGCATACAAATGGACTTTGGGTGCCCATCCTACAATGAGAGATACACTCTCACCCTAGACTCTTGGGGGAGGGTCTAGGCCCTGCCCTGGATGAAATGACAGACTATGGATACCCCCATGGAGGGCTTCACCCTCCCTGGGGAAAGGAGGGAGTGTTGGGGGGGTTGGTGGGAAGGCACGGGAGGAGGGGAGGGAAAGGGAGAAAGACCTGAGATTGACATGTGAAGCAACCTTGTTTCTAATTTAAATTTAAATTTAAAAATAAAAAAATAGGTAATAAAGAAAAGAATAAATTGTTTTTATTGAAATACAAAAAAGGGCATATAAATGAGAGAGAGATTATTCTTTTAAAACAACCAACTAAGCGGGCAAACCTCTATCAAGACTAATGAAGAAAAGCAAAAAGAGAACATATGGATTATTAACTATTAAAAAGATAACCCTGTAGACACTACATACTCCTATACATACAAATGTATCACCTGGTTCCTCAAATATACCAACTACTATAGTTCACTAAGTATGAAATCGTTCATTTAAGTTGGCTCACAACCTAAAAGGAAATTGAATATACAATTTCAAATTTCCCAAGACAGAGATCTCCAGGCCTAGACGGTTTCACTGGAGAAATCTTGAATGTTTAAAAACTCAATTCAGTTCTGAACAACTCTTCCCAACTATTAAATTAAAAAGAGCAGATCTCAATTCCTTGTGTGTAGCAACTATTACGCTAAAATCAAAACCGGGTAAGAGATATTACAAAGACAGAAAATGATAGAAAAATATCCTCAGGAGTACAGATGCAAAACCCCTTAAAGTATGAACAAATACTCTTCAGTCATATGAAAAACGAGTAACACAGCATGACCCAGGGACCTATGGCTGGCTTAACACGCAAAAGTTAATCAACGTGATCCGTAGTATTAAGCAGCGGAAAAAAGAAAAATCACAGCTTTTGCTTGATATGGAACGAGATTTTGACATAATTCATTGTCCACTTGTCATTAAAACAAACAAACCTCCCCCAAGGCACAAACACAAAGGAGCTTCCTCAAATTAAAAAAATCTACAAGTCACCTGTAGTTTATAAGACATTGTAATGGTGAAAAACTTGATTCTCACAATGAATTGAGATTTGCTCTTTTTAAATCTAAATTTTGGGAAAGATTATACAGAACTAGAATTTAATTTTTAGATATTTTAAGATTTCTCAGTGAAACCATAAAGACATGGAGATTTCTTCAGTTGTTTTGGGGTGTTGGTGAGACGGTTTAAATTGGTACTGCATTCCCAGTACCTCAGAGGTTGAGGCAGGAGGATCACCACATTGAGTTTGAGTCTTGGGATATCTAGTGGTTTCCAGGCCAGATTGGGCTATAGATAAAACTACACACACACACACACACACACACACACACACACACACACACACACACACACGTTAATTTCCAGGACTGGAGATATAGTTTCATGGTACAGCGTTTGTGATGGCCTGGGTTCAATACCTACTACTAAACAAACAAACGATTCTCACTCTCCAGTACAATAGCGTGTGAGAGATGGTGACACTGGTACTGTTGTCTTTGGAAGTAGGTTAATTACAAGACAGTTGACTTCCTATAAAACAAGTTTTCCACCATTTGCTCCCCTGTCCTGTTTGGTCACAGGTTGACATAGCAACAAGTGAGATATAAATTAAACAGGTGGGACTCCACACTGCAGCCTCGCTGGCCAGAGACCCTCAGCCTGCTCACCCTGCTAGCTTCTGGGACTGGGAGGCACTTTTCTTTTTCTTCTTTTTAGAAATTAGCTTGTCCATGGTCTCATTACAACTACACAAGGTAAGCTAACAGATTTCTTCTTAGCCATGTTTTTACCCTAAAGATGTTTCCCTATAAACTTTTTATACAATTTATTTCTGTCTTATTCTTTCCCCTCCCCAACTCCTTTCCTACCCACCCAACTTCATGTTCTCTCTCTCTCAAAAAAATAAATAAACCCAAAAGATAATTAAAACAAAAAAACCCAACAAGAAAAAAATGTACCAAAACAAAATAAAATAAAACAAAAAGTGCCACAAAAAAAAAAAAAACCCAGGGAGTCCGTTTTTTGTAACAGGCCCCCCCAGACCTTAGCACAACTGACTCCATGACAGAAGTACCATTTAGGCTGTAAAACTCAACATACAGATGGCACCACCTGACAAAACTAAAATAAAGGCCTAATCCATCAGGGTCCATAGTTCTGGGGATGTTTCTAAGTGCACTAACCTTGCTTTTTGGCTTCTGTAGTTCTGCTTCTGGCTAACTGTTCTTGTTAACTGGTGTGTGTCAACCCAGAACATTGTTTTTTGTGCTTAAAAACTCACCCCAAGAAAGGCTCAGGGATACACGGGGATCCAGGACACCCAGTGCAGTCATCATCCTGCTAATGAAGACTTTCTACTGACATAAGCCCTCGTCCGAGCAGTCTTCTCTGGTGGACACCCCACAACAGTTTTGTGTTAGTCAGCTACTCCTGGACATGGGGCCTGCTCTGGAGTGTGGTTGACAAACCCAGTGACACTCCATTGAAGACATCTGATTTTTCCTTTTTGAGTCCCCAAAGGTATTTTTAGTGGTAATGCGGTCATCCTTAGAGAGGTAAGGTTTTAATAAGTTATAAATGTTCCTCCCCCAG